ATCGATAAGCTTTTTTTCTATATCGCCCAGCCCTAGTTATCAGTACGTACACATGCCATTGGGGGCTCCGGGGTGGCGTGGGGGCATCATGGGTGGCATGCCGCCTGCGGGTGGGCCGGCAGAGGGCGGACCGGACAGCATACGTGCCGGCATCGGCTGGCCCGGTTCCATTGGTCCTACAGGAAGACAAGCAGTTGGCAGGTGAGATTTACAGCATTACAATTTTTATTATTTTCTTCCTTTAAAGGTTCTGCATTGCTCTATCCAAGCTTAAAATAAAAATAAATAAAACTTTTTTACATTTATATGTTCATTAGATTATTTTAAACATTAATCTAATCTCTTGCCTGTCTGTCCTGGGTGGTGGGGGGCCATGGGATGGTGGCCCATTGGGGGAAATCCTGGATGCATTGCAGCTCCCGGCGATGGTCCTCCATGGTGGGGGGGAGGTCCTCCATGGGGTTGCTGGGGTCCTCCATGGTGGGGGGTAGGAGGCCCTACGTGGTGGGGTGGGGGCCCGCCATGGTGCATGCTGTGAGGAGGGGGACCAGGGTGGGGCCCGGCAGCAGGATGGGGTCCTGATCCAGAGCCCTGTCCTTGTGCCTGAGCGGCTGCAGCAGCAGCAGCTTGCTGCTCCATCTGCTGTCTTGCCTTCATCTCGGCATATTTCAGCTGCTCCATGTGGAAGGCCTGTCGTTCGGTGAGGAGCTGCTGCCTCTGAAGTTCCAGCTGCATTAAAAAAAGACCATGAAACATTCAAAAGGGCTCCTTTCTTCCAGAAATCTTGGTTCTCTCTTCCCTGTTGGCTAAACCTGACACATCTAACTAGGCATAAAATGTTATGATAATAAAAGGGCAAATGAGATTTAATTTTCTGCTAAAACTATGTTGAGGATTAGGAGAGCTCTGTGAGTTTACTTTCTCTCCATCTTTTACCATCATTTTCCATCCAGCAAAATCACATTTCAGCTTTGATCATTCCAATAAAATCTGTCTGCTCCAATTAACGCATCCCTTAGGGAGTACTGGAAACAGTACAGGAAACACTGTGGGAATAAAGGCCTTGCTCAGGGACCCGGGGCAGCAGCCTGTGGGACAAAAACGGGGAAATTTTGAGAGTTCCTGGGACACAAATGTGTTGTTCTCTAACCATGAGGCCACATCTTCCTATGTAGGACAAATTCTTACTCATATAATTTTGTTTAATAAGGGGCTCTTGATAAGAATGAGATCATAACAAATCTAATAAGCTGCCAGAAATATTTTATTTCTTTATAAATGGAATGATGAGTCTGGCTCCTACAATCTGAGGCCGATCTCTAAAAATCAAAAAGAGAAAAGCAGCATACTTTAAAGAAAAAGCGAGCGTCGGTTGCATCTGGGATTCCTTAAAAGAACGCACCACTTCCACATCCAGTGGTACCGAGGGGGAAGAGTGATGGGGGACGTTTTGATGAATGAAAATGAAGATATGTGGGGAAATTGGAGGCTATCATAATCTCTACTACCAGTTTTCCTGATATCATTCATCCCTACTTGAAAACAACCTGCAGCTACCAGTGAACATCTGTTCGTTGCTAAATTCATCGAAAAATTAAAAGCAAATATTGATTATTTTGTCATTCTTTCTTCTTCAGTTTAGGGCTTAGAGTGTCCTACATCTTAAAGAGTAAGTTTTTGTGAAAAAATATTTTGAAAATAGACCTTTATGAAAAAAAATATAACATTTGATGAGCAGACTGACACCTCTGTAGTTAATCACTGATGCCTCTATAAACTTGTAGTCTATTTTGTTAAATGCGTTGGAAGTTCCCGTGCAGCACAGCAGATGTGACGACAAAAGCATCCACGTTAAATGGCTCCAAACTAGCAAAAAATAGAAGCATTATAATCAAGATGGATTTTATGTATACTAAGAAGCGACCGTCATTTAGCTCAACTCAGACATCAATATTAACTCCATGTCAGGTGAAAAAAATTAAAATATGTCTGGGCTAAAAGAAGAAGCTGATGAGTGCTGCAGTTCTACGATTTGGCCACAGGTGGCAGTATCATGAGAAAACTCCATAATGCCTCTTTAAAAAATGGCTGAATTAAATTCTTATTACTCCGCTTTCCCAGAGTCCTCGTAATCGTCTGATTAAAGTGTGCGTGAGCAGGAACATTTCTAACTGGGTCAACACACCGGCCCTTGAAGACTGGAGCTGCCAGTTTCTGCCCCAGACTGGAATACAATCTTGTGTTTCTCTGTTGTTCTGTGTGCATCTTTACAACCCTGATGTTTTATAGCTGCAGCTCAGGTTTTGGGTTCTCTCCAGTTCTACAAAAATGTCTTCAAACTGCTCTTTTCATGCAGTGTTTGCATCTGTGAAACTGGGCTTCGCTCCAAATGCTGCCTCCATGAAGCCACAGTTTTCCATTCCCACCAGCGTCGCCAGGAAACATGCATTGAAACTCATAACCTAAATCCCTCAGTTGTCCCATGAAGACCATCAAAATGCATCACTAAACAACTGCTTTGCACTTGAAAACTGTTTTTAATTTCTGTTTCCGCTTCAGTGTCTAAAAACAACTCATTGAGTGAAAACATCTGCTAATGGACACCATTTACTGCTACGCCATCAAAACAACAAAACTAAGCCATATAGAAAATGTGACAGACGGGTATTGTGGACGACAGTTATTAGTCAATCTACTACTAGCCATCTTAGTGCAACAACTGTACGAGGAAAAAACAACACCCATGTTTAATTAAAAAAAAAAACAGACGCATATACATGATTAAAAATTTGCAGAGCAGGAAAACAAAAAAAGAAAAGAATTCCTTCTATTGTAGACTGATCATAAAAACAGAAGCTACTGTTCGACTTTTAAGAGACATTTATCTTTTGGAGGCCAACATGTCAGCATATTATCTTGTAGTCTTCCGAACATCAAGCTCAAGTCATGTGATAGGTTAGGCTTTTCAAAGACTTTTTTTCCTTTTTGCCTGCCGTTTCACATTTTATTTAGATTTTTTTTTTCATTTAACCTTAGTTAAATTAAAACTTTTTGGATTCCTTTTCTTTTTCACATTTTATAGACTTGCATATACCCATCAGCTTTCATTGCATACGTTAATCAATTTGGCACTGATGGACCTGAATTCTAAACCAAAATATCCGCAATGCGTTAAATGTTTTTATTTAAAACAGAGAAAATAGTTATTACTGCTATCAAAATAAACATGAGTATCATGGATTTCACTTAGCTTTTTATACCATTTGAGCCACGTTTATAATTTTGATAAAAAAATAAATAAATTCAGATCAAGGATAACATGATTTGTCATGCTTACAAAAATTAGGTGGGATTATTTATATATCCAACCGATATGATCATGGAAAGACTCCCTCAGAGCCTTTTACAAATAAGTCGTTTAGAAGTAAGCACGGCTCTGGTTGTTGGGATTGTGGTGCAATCTGGTTTTAAAAGTTATGTTTTTTTTGCTATATTTTTTCTTTCAGAGTTGTCTACACCGAACTCTTCCATTGCTTACAAGAAGCATTTATGAGCAAACTATCTTTGGAAGACTTTATTCTAAATGATATATGTCCATCCTTGGAAATGTATCTCTTTAATGTAGGTATTATTTCAAAATGAACTCATTTACTAGCTAAAAAATACTTCATGTCTTTTCAATTGGAAAATGTGCTCATCTTGATCAAAACTACATTTTCCATCCAAATGTTTTCCACAGTGAGGTAATTTGTAGCACTGTTGACTTGTGACAAGAAGGTTCCGGGTTTAATTCCCGCCCCGGATCTTTCCGCATGCAGTTTGCATGAACTGGTACTACAGCTTTCTCCCACAGTCCAAAAACATGACTGTTAGGTTGATTTGCATCTCTAAATTGTCCTTATGTGTGAGTGTGTGAGCATGATTTTATGTCTTTGTTTTGTCCTGTGACAGTCTGGCATCCTGTCAAGGGTGTACCCCGCCTCTCGCCCATAGACTGCCAGAGATAAGCACCGGCCCCACCGCGCCCCCCAGGGAATAGGCGGAATTTTTCATCCTGACTTACAGCTTCTTTCTCTCGGTCCATGATGGTCTCAAGCTCTTCAAAGTGCCTCAGCTTGATTTCCAGCTTCTTCATCTGAGTTTCCACCAACAGGGCAACCAGAGATTTAATTTTCCTTTCCTCAACCGCTGCCAAGTGCTGAAAAGAATAAATAAACATAAATATCAAAGTAAACAAAGAAAAATATTGCAGGCCAACACAGTAGAAACAAATGAAGTCAGCTAAAGTTTAAGGCCTCACCTTGGCCTTGGTGGCAGCAGAAGCCAGAGCAGCAGCGGCTGCTGTGGCGATGTTACCCTCCCCAATGTCGTGTTCCAACTTCTTCTGCTTTTCATCTCCCTCCTCGCTGGCTGCCTTTTCCTCCTTATCTTTCTCCTGCTCTGAAGGTGAGGTGTCCATACCTTCATCCTTATCTTTATCTGAAAGGAACAGTTATAAGCAGTGAGCTAAATACAAACACTTACAGTTTAGTTGCATGTTTAACCAATGACTTCTTCCATGTTTTCATAGATCCCAGTTACCTGCTGAAGCTGTCTTGGCCTCCCCTTCCTCGTCTTTCTCCTGTTCATGCTCTGAGGCCTCTGTTCCCTCCTTTTTCACCTTTTCTGTGGTCTCTGTCTTGTCGCTTTTCTCTGCAGACTCACTGGGCTTTTCTGCCTCATCTTTCAGCTCAGCCTGAATAATGTAGACACATAAGAAATGCGAGAGATTAATGTAGAAAAATATGTTATTCAAGTAGGTCTGACTGTAAAACTAGTTCTATAAAAACATTTTTATTACTGAATTGGTGGGCTGTGGCCTTTTTCACAACTTCATAAATGGAATGCAACTGACTCTCTAAAAAAATGTCAGAAAACTACACACATAGATCATAAAAATAAAAATAAAATACATGCAAGTATGTTATTACTGCTGTCATGAACTCTCATTTTTTTTTTCTTTCATAGGAAGTACACTTGGCCAAGGTTCCTGATAGTTTTGTTTTTCTATGGCCCCAGCCTTTCATGGTAGATTACTGCTCAAACCACGCCTGATGGAGTCTTTTTCTTTTTAAAAAGGTGTCATTTCTCACCATTTTTTCTCACGTGCTTGATTATAATGTGGGGCTGCTCCAAAATTATTGAATTTGTTTAATCAGCAAGGATAGGTTTGATCAGGCATTACCCGCTGACAATAAACTAAGGTCAATTTAATTGTTTAAAATTACAATTTGGACTGAACTAGGCATTATTTTACTGCTTATAAGACTAGGCTTATAACTTTTTGAATAAACTTTCCAGTTATCCCATGCAATCTCTACAGTAATGCTGTTACAGGCTTAGCCTGCTGGAGGACAAAGGGACCATCTGGTCTTCATCCCGGAGAGAAATATCAGCTGGGATCATAATTATTATTACATCATAACAATGATGCTGATTTTTATTGTTCAGTCAGTCTGTCAGAACACATAGAGTTAGTGTTACTAACTGCGTGTCTTCTTTCATCCCATAGACTGCAAACCTGGTTCAGAGTTTATCTGCTTAACTGTTTCTTTTCTAGACAAATGCCACCTTTAGACAGGGTATATGCAGGAAATATTATGTTGAATGTAATGCCTTTAAATAACTTTTTAATACAGTCACAACACTTAAGCTGCAGATAAAACTTTTCGACTTCTTTTGGGAATAACTAATCATAAAGTTGGTGACATTTTTTTGTTTTTTCATTGCTCTCGCTGCTCTGAGCATTAAGTCCCTGCCAGCTATTGTTTAAGGAGACCGGTTAGGCTTGGTGTTACATTAAAAAGAGTTTGTTATAAATACTGTTTCCTGGCAACAATGGATTCGCACTGAAAACTGTGCAAGCGTTCGAACAAACTTAGCTTAACTTAGGAGTCCAAGCTCAGAAATTTGAGGATAAGTGTATGTGGGACTTTCGCGGCACTAGCGGGAATTTTTCAAAAAGTCTGACATATTGTTTGAGAATGGACTGAAAGAGTTCCTTCTTTTGAAGGCATAAAAATAAATACAAAGTTATGCAGTCAATAAAAAAGGGAACTTTTTAATTTCCGTAATTGTTGCCAATTTAATGCACTACCTTTTTTCAACCCTGGAAAGCCAGATAGAGCTAGTTTACCATTAATGTTCCTTTGCTTGTTCCTTCTTTATATCTGCTGCTACCTCCTTCAACAACCCTCAGTCAGCCTCGGCAGAAGGCCACTCTCACTGAGCCTGTTCTGCTTATTCCTTTTAAATCTGAGATTTTCCTTTCTAATGTCCCTGCATGCATCCTTTGCGTAAAGGATCTTTATAGAGTCAACAACAAAATGCAAGCAAATATCTACCGTCACCACACATCTAAGATGAGCGTGTCCTGGAAAATCAATGAGTCGATGCAATCAGCTTTCCTTTGTTAAAAAACATTTTACCAATCTGACTGTTTAATCCAAATGAATTGTCTCTGTAAAGTGCCTCGACGAGATGTGTTGTTAATTGGCCTTACATAAATAAACTGAACAACCTGATCTGAATACCATTATTTTTCTAATTGAAGTGAATTTAATTCAAGCTGTACAATGTCACATTAACTGCTGAAAATCAGCATCATTTAGAAAGACTACAGGGACACTAAATAAATTCCTAAGCCATGTAGCTTATTAGTTTAAATCTCACAATGACAAAAGTGTGTTATAGTTGTTAATGAGGTAAACTGAGAGTGAGCTAGTACATAGACACAATTCTCACTTTGGAAAAGACATTACCTTCACCTGCAGATCCTAGTGTAGGAGGGAGATGAGAATTAAATGCAAATGAGCGAGAAAATAAACTTCAACCATCTCTATCGGGAGAGCTAGAACTTATGAGAGGAACATGGATAGCTGCCAAGGACTATTTTGCACCTTAGCAGATTTAAATGGTGCATTGATGTCCCCGATAAAACATAATCAATGACTCTGACTGCATATGTAATTACAACAACAACAAAAAAGATTAGTCTTTTAATAACTTGACAAAAGCCAAGTAAATGGTAAAAACTCAATTTATATATCACTGACAATAAGAACAATTATTTTTATAGTTAACAAATACATCTTTTTAAACTTGAATAAATGTAACCTTTTCTATAACAAAGTAAAAAAAAAAAGCTATACTGACATAAGAAAGAGCTGTGAAGCATTTAAAGATTTGTAGGGATGAAATTTTGAATGACTCAGAGTATTTGTTGTTTTCTCCAAGGATTTATCCGCACTGGTTTCTTTCAAATGTTTCATGTTTGTAGGGAGGGCTTGTTAAAATGTTTCCAACAAGGATGTTTAAAAAGAATAAAACAGACAAGTGGTTGTTTTTCCTCACCTTGTCAGCCTGCTGGGAGTCTGAATCTGTTTCCATCTTTTCTGGTTCTGGGGTTTCTGAGTGAAAACATGAAATAAACTACACATTAGGAAAATATAATATATAGAAACTCATTTCCTCTTATTAGTAAAACTTATTTTATTCAGTCAGACAAAAGCCCTTAAGGAATCAGGTAACCCGTAATTTAAATACAATTCAGTTTATAAACAGACCATTGGGAAAAATGTGAAAGCTTTTGAGAACAAGTGAGCAGCTTTATATACGTTTACCGCTATGAGTTAAACCATGTGACAGATGCACTTAGGCAAATGTTAAGGGCCCGAATATTGACTGTGGGTCAGGTGATTGCTTCAGGGCGAGTGAGAACTGGAGCACATTTAGGCTTATTGATCATCGCTGTAGTTCAAGAGGGCAGTAATTCAGGCACTAAAGCCATTTTAACAGAGATGGCTGCAAAAGACACATTTTTAAAGACCAAACAGAACAAAAAGAAAAAGGGGAAAAAATTGAGAAGCACTGAATGATGACCCAGTTTTCTGTTTTCCCTCCACCCAAACACTCTGCTCCATCTGCCACTGTTCCTTTAATCCACTGGTTACTGCAGCACTATAAACACAGACCAATATCTAAACTGCTCAGCGCATGCTGACAAAAACAGATGCAACCCCAGATCATTTCAATATCATAAAAGAGTCATCAACTCCTACAGGCATTCATGAGGATTCTTCGTGAAATATTAACCCATTCTAAGAGCCCTTATGTGCATTAGAAGACCTCTCTATATTCCCTCTGATAATGTGACTATATGGTGCCCTCTAGTGGGTGCCACTTTTCATAACAGTTTATTGTCTAGATTGCTAGACAATAGATTGATTCCAGTAAAAATATAGTATATTTTTTTTCAATGACATAAAATAATTAGAGCAAAGATCACCACTATGATTGTACGATGCTATTTACCTGTTTTTTCTGGCTCCTCAGGGGCTGTTCCGGCAATCCCGCTGCTCTCCAATCCGAAGGTAGGATCTACTTTGCCTGTGTTCCTTGCTGCCTCCTGCACCTTTTTGACATGAGCTTCAACCAACTCTGCTGGAACTTCCTCACGCACACGAGAGAACTCTTCTGCAAAAGGAGAAAAGGCCTTTTTACCTAAATGTCAG